AAAGGGAAAACAAAGTTGAGTATGCACCCCCAGAGATAACACGGACCAACATTAAAACTTGAGAAAGAAAAAAAAAAAAAAAAAAAAAAAAAAAAAAAAAAAATACCATGGCCCTCGGGGCGTGGGGAGTGGGGTCCAGAAACCCAGGCAGAGCGCAGCCAATGTCAGGAAGCAGGCAGTGCCTGCAATGTGGAGATAGGCAGTGAGTTAGGGGACAGAAAGCCCAGCCCAAGGGTTGCTGGCTGAACAGGATTAAGACAGTGCTCAGTGGAACCTACAGAATTGGAAAGCTTTTCATGATTCACTTTCCACCTTGAGAAAGGCATAGGATTATTTTCTTCTCTGCCTTCTTTCCCATAAATTCTTCAACGGATCCCCCAAATGCCAGTTATAGTTGGGGGAGGACTTGTGAGAGATGCTTTCATTTAATTTCAAGGTTTGGCCAAATCCACTGGATTTGCCCAGCTGTTGGGTGAGATCGACTTTCTGTGGCTTGGTAGTCTTTGGGTTCCAGTTCAGTGAAAATAGTGGGAGTTCTTCAATCAGTGTCTGCCCTCAACCTCCCTCTCTATGCCCTACCCCTACACTGCTCCCTGACTCTGCCTGCATCCACAACCCCAGCTCTGGGTGGGATACATTCTCCCCACCAGGGTCCCCCTGCCCTGCCTCCCTCCAGGGCCAGAGAAGGGGCCTGGACACATACCACACACTCTGAGTCCGCCATTGGACTCAGAGGGCGGGTCCCACTAGCCCATGCTCTCCCTCCTGAGGAAGCCAGGCCCTTTGAGCAAACCCGTGATGGGGCCACCTATTTCCCTCTCTTTTTAAAAATAAGCACTCCCTGTGGCTCCAGTTGGCCATCACCCTGGCGAGGTGAGTCCCTTCCAAAAATCTATGTCAGAGCATCCTTTGTAACACTCGGGGAAGAGAGCCGGCGGGGGGAAAAAAGGCTCCTATTTATCCGGATGTTTGACATCCAGAGAAGGAATATTATTGTTTCTCCAGTCAAATACTGGGGGTCCACTGAAAAATATTTTCAGTTCGCCGGACTGAAGTCCAGTGTCTTTGTGAACCGTCGCCAATAATCGCAGGCCCGGGGTGTCAGAGACCCAGCCGTCCCTCTCAGGCCACCACATTCCTGTCAGATGCTCTGAATGTGGCCTAGCTGGTCCTGGTCATGGAGGTGGCTACTGTGTCATTCTCCCATCCTACTAGCTAGGGTTAGGACACTGCCTGGGTAGGGGTGGAGTTAGGCCAAGGAACCGCTGTGACTCGGAGGTCATAGAAACGACGTGGCTGAAATCTTACTGCCAGCCAGTATCCCCCAGGTACAGAAGCCTGCCTGGGATAGGGTTCGCAGAGCCCACCCTCTGCCTCTCTACATTAAAAACATCATTTTGGGGTTGGGGGGCATTTGTTTTTTTTTAATCCTACAAATGTGACACATAGTCATTAAAACAAATTTGGAAAACATGGCAAGCAAAAGTAAAAAATGAAAATCACCCAATTTCCCTTCTCCCAGAGAGAATAACTGTGTCCATTACACCTTATACCATTTAAGCATGAGTTTTATGCATGACATATATTTTAAAAAAAAACACTAAAATGACTTGCTTTTTAATAAATAACTTGCTTTCTTCACCTAGTAGTCTACCATGACTATCTCTCCCTTTTATTAAATACTTTTCTAACACATTAACAGCTACATGGTATTTTATTCGACTGATGCATCACAATTTTTTAGGCAATCCTCAATTAATGGCTATTAGGTCATTTCCATCCTTTTGCGACTATAAACAACACCTTGATGAACATCTGGGAGGCTCTCTGGTTGATTATTTGTTACCTACGATTATACCTCTGATTATTTGTTCAGACTGATGATCAGAGCTGCCATATTTTTAGTGTGCATTCTCCCTTATCTGGAAACAGATCTAGCTTAGCCAATGTACATAACTGTACTTGTCAGGGAGGGAATTCATACCCAGGGCTGTCTGGCTCCAAATCTAGATCTCCAAATGGCCATTCCCCTTGTTCTATTAGGTTGATGCTTCAGAACGATGGGGAACATGGTAGGACCAGTGACTTCCATGAGCACAATCCACTGATGCACTTCATTAGCTGTGAAATGAGTTCCCTGGTCAGAAGTAATGCTGTGTGAAATGTTACGACAGTAAATAAGATCTTCTGTAAACCCATGGATGGTGGTGTGGGCAGAAGCATTGTGGACAGGGAAGACAAATCCATATCCAGAATAATCACCTATCCCAGTTAAAAAAAAAAAAAGTACTTCCAAAATGTAAGTGGTCCAATATAATTGACCTGTCAGCAGGTATTTGGCCTGTCTCTCCAGAGAGTGGTGCCACCTTGGGAGCTCTGGGTTGGTCTCTGCTGTTGGTAGGTAGGTTGCATATTCAACAGTGACTGTAGCCAGATTGGTCTAGGTGAGTAGAAGTCCACGTTGCTGGGTCCAGGTAAAACCTACATCCGTGCCC